GTCTAAAAACGTTCACCCTCCAGTTAGAATCTATAAGCGATACAATTTGTGTCACATGCATTTTTAACATGCGCGCTCGCAAATCTTAGCAACAAAAACATCGACACCAATCTGCGGGGCGTTAGCCCAGTAGCTACCTTTCAGCCGCGGCCTTCGTCCACCATGTTATGATAAGATTTGTCCATGCGACACAAATTTCCGTCCACCATGTTTTGTCCAAATGATTACCTTTTAACACTGTAATCGAATGTTAATGCAAGTTATGTGACGTAATTTTGAGCACACGCACTCCAAAATATTAGAAACACAAGCCTCGACAGCAGGCGTTGCAGTTCCCGTAGGCTGCGCAACGTCGGCCTAGCAACTGACACTAAGCTGTGGCCAACGGGTGGACGAAAATGACGATGCTCCTGAAAAAGTATTCTAAAATATTCTTAAGTACATTTAAAGCATTGAGCGCATATTTCACGTGTGCAATTTTTTGACTGATGAAAAGAAAGGATTTGCTCTCAAAGCGCCGTGAAGTGGGGCTGGAATCTGGTGGTTGAATTGGAAGAGCGAAGGTACGATCTCTATTTTTCGGGTTTTTGCAAGTATTTGTCTATCCAGACGATAGATTAACACGGCGCCCACCGTCTGGTGGCACTCGCAGTGCCCGAAACTTTTTGGTTTTACGGGAGTTGCAGCCCAGACCATCCTTGCCCTTGCTCTCGAGGTTGGGGGCGAGTATGCTCAAGCCTTTTGATGTAATTTGCTTCACTAGTACATTCTGAAAAAGTGAACGTTCTCAGGCAAACATGGCATGAACTTGCTCGTTTTTTAAAGATTATTTCGACCCATCCTACTCAACAATAATGAGACCCCACTCTACTCAACAATAATGAGAATCCTTATTTCCTTCCGGGTAAGGGCCTCTTGAGTAGAACATCAGGGGTACATTACTGTTTCCGATCAAGGGCTGGAGGGCCATTCCGCTCCATCGCAAAGTGTCTTCTGGCTATCATTCTGGTGACACAGGGCGGGATCGCCTGGTCGGTCGGGAAGCCATTAGAAGGATGTATCATACCACATTGGTCCCATCCCTGACACGGAACGCCTTCTGACCCGCGCAGTTAGCCCCGGATCAGAACAGGAACACTCATTGACGCAAAAATATCCCTGATTACCGCTGATAGTCCAATAATTGTCACATAGACCTTAGTTCCGTATTTTTCTGTGTTCTTCAGAGATATTGAGCTCTCCCTGATGGTAGATCGTAGATGAAATGGGGTTCCTAATTTGTATTAACATGGCTAGCACATGTTCGTCTTAATGTGTTCAAGATCCAGTCGTAACTGATTACTGATAAGAAAGCTACGTAACATGGTCTTGAACATGCGCGCTCCCACGTCATAGCAACAACAGCCTCGACGTCCGGCGTTGCAGTCTCCATCCCGTGCGGCCTTGCGGTTGTAACACTAAGCGATGGCCATGGGCAAACGAAAAAGATGACGCATCTGAAGGGCAATGTCTGGTGAACTAGGTAAATCGGCATGCATGTTATATGCAGTGCAAAAGTAAGCCAAATGCAAGCTTAATCTGAAAAGTGGAGGGGGGGGGGGGCAGTTAACATCGCAAGCCGCCACCTTGAAGAGTGGGGGGGTCCATGGTCCCCCGTTCCTACACCGATGGTCTCAATGGACCGAAAGTAAAAAGCACAGAATAGAGCAGGTTACACAATATATGGTGTATGGTTCTGTACGCACAGGATGTACACAAAATGTCTTATAATATTTTTCCAGTGACATCGTATGCGAGAAGAATAATGCACGACACTCAGGCTTGTTTAATGAACACCTGGGGACACATATCCACGGAGAGCGTACGCTCACAATTAGGGGAGGAAGAAGTCGACATCCATGCACCAATGGTACACATTATAACCTACTTAAACTTTTAGGTGCACATTTCAGCAACGGCATGAGACAACGCGCACCAAGGATATAAGAATCGCTGCGTATCGGTAAACGTTGACAGATGATGAACTCGCAAGCACCATCGTGAAATACTGATTGTTAACGCTGTTGTTTTGTTAAGGTACCTTCAGCAATACTTGTCTGCTGATTGATTTTGATACTAGTTTCCTGTAGCGAATTGCTTTCTGATATGTGATACAGTCTATCGAAACCTTCCGGCCTAGCCATCGATTTCTCATGCAAGCCTTATCATAGTGCCGTGCGTCTTACATTAGGATATAGAAGCTTGCATGCTTGATTATTTTAATACTTTTCTTGTCAGGATCTGCATAGATTTGCAACAGTTACGATCATTCGCAGGCCTTTTGCGTTGCGCGCTATGCGTTAACTTATTCACAGGTGAGCACGTGTACTACCTGGAACTGTTGACTTGTCCTACAATTTTGGAAATGTTGGCATAGAATATTGGCGTAGCCACGGGTCTCCCGGTATACTGACGTGCCTGTGTTTTGGCATAGATTTCATAATTGTGAGAAAAAATCGTGCGTGCGTGTGTGCGTGCGTGCGTGTGTGTGCGTGTGTGTGTGTGTGTGTGTGTGTGTGTGTGTTACGGTACTGTTTGAAACATGAACGGTTAACATGCGTGTAAGCGTTGCCTTTTTCTTTCAACGAGTGATATATTTCTGGGTGTGCTCTCATGCGATGAACAGAGGCAGTGTCACCGACTTCCTTTGTAGGGCGAGCATATCTAATAAACCGAAGATGTTCTCAGATTTCGCCCATTTTACAGACTAACTTCCTAGATACATGAAACTAGGCACAGCCACCTCTCAGCCCGGCAGGACCTCATGACTGATTAATCAGTGCCTCCTATTGGACTGCTGGGAATTTAAGTAGCAGAAACGCCGCCATAGCCCAATCAGTTAGTGCGTGCTGCCCAGCCCACATGTGACGGTGTGGGTAGGCTTGAGTCCCCCTGTTATTCGCCCTCAGCGCTCCACATTTGCTATTTGTCCCATTTCCTTTCAGGGTCTCATCTGTGAGAGTAGATGGTTCTCCCGAAGTTTCCTGGCCGTGAGCAATCCGAGTGTGGGTATTCCACGTATAGATCTTTCGGGCATTGAGCCCTCCGAACATGGTTTTTCCGACCCTCATCTTTCCCAGCTAGGGAGACAAGCTCACCGTTGCTGCTTCGTCAACGGCAAAATTGTTTCGTTGCTTTATGGGTTACCGGCTGGTGGAGTGAATGGACAGCCGTAGAGGACAACGGCCATGTTTTGACAACTTGGACGCATTTTTATGCGTTTGGCCCCCATTCAGGGCTACTAGTTCACGGCTTGATCGGTGTCACGTTTACGCACTGAAACTGGACTTAAACACAGTTAAACATTTACGCACTCTCCTATTCTGGATTATTCTTGTCGACATTGATTTACATGAATATTAATGCACGATCCAGTTCAATGAGGACTCACATGTCACACGCCTCGGTGCCCGCTTCAAAAGGACCAGGCCTGGAAGCCCCCCGCCCTCCCCTCTCCCCCCCCCCCTCTGAAAGGAGACCCCATGTTGTTCAGGAAGTCCTCTGGAAAAGCCTTTCCTCAACTTATATCTCCTGGCACCGCCCCTGACAGACCCAATAAATTGATGTGGGGAATTCACATCAATGAAAAGTCTCCACCAATCTGTTGATGTACCAGCTAATTGTTCTAAATGGTATCATGTGCAGTATCTTGACCACAAATGGCTATTCATTGAACCATAGCCTATGATTTGAAATGTAGCGTGCCTTGTAATATGTTACACCTTTGACCTAGATCCCAGTGATAAATGATCAGAAACAGGCCAGTAACTCGATAGGAAGCATAAATTATTGATACACATACTTCCCATTTCTTGCAAGGTTTACTCCTTTGGGCGCTGTATGCTAATTGTGGTAAAAACGTGACAGCGATCGCTTAGAATAAACAACAGTTGCAACAAGAGATTCTAGATGCATAAAGCTATGGCCAAACAGCAAACACGCCCCCGGTCAGACACAGAACAACAAATATCACGCCGGCTAAGGGCAACGCTGCGACGCTTTCACAGCAGCTCCGCGCGTGTCCAGCGCCCCACTCCACGGTACTCGTCTCGTACTCAACGATCACTTGCAAGTCGAGCGCGGCCTCGCCGACCAACAACATCCGACACCACCTCTGCACCAGCGTGGGAAATAAATCCGCTGCTATGCGACCCCCGACCGCATGCTTGTATTGTTCGCACTGGCGTCGACTGTATGCACTTGGCCGACGCTGGGCGGAGCAACGCTGCCTACCAATAATGGCGACTATTCACACCCTGGCGGCCGCTCCAAGAACTATTTTGGAAGCCCTGGCTCTTGGACATTCTGTACCTTGGACAATAGGTACATTGGACATTCTGTACTTTGGGCATTCTGTACCTTGGACATTGTGTGCATTGGACATTATGATGAAACGGGCTCCTTCCACCCTGCGCCATTTTGGAAGTTATTTCTCATCTTGGACATTGTGTGCCTTTGACATTATGAGTTTTGGACATTCTGTACCTTGGAAATTCTGTACTTTGGACATTCTGTACCTTTGGACATTCTGTGCCTTGGATAATATGAACGCCTCCCGTGTGTGTATGTGTGTCGCCCTCCCGGTGAATGAGAGTGAAAATGGTCCGGTGATGAGCGCAGCATTCACATTACCACAGACAGTTGATTCAGATGTGGCTGGTATGTGTGCTTGATTCTTAATACACGAATGTGAGGCTGCCAAATTCAGCCGTAAGTCCTTAAAACCACACCAAATGCTAAATGCAGGGCAGGACCCTTATGTAGTTCTAGAATGGCGGTTCAAACTGAAGACAAATACGTGTGCTCAAACCAAAGGATAAGCTTATATGCACAATCCAAACACCATGCAACACAGCCACAAGCGTGCGTAATGACACAGCATCCCTTACCACACTCCGTGGTCAATATACATGCACCCCCCCCCCCCCTCCCCCCTCATCCCAAAGCTTGCCAGCACTTGCACATTGTTGATGGCGCTCCTTATCGGCTTCAGGCCCTTCCTCAACACCATGTAAGTAGCCTGCGGTCTGCTTTTGCGGCCGGGCTCGTCCAGCGGTAGAAGATGACACGCCTCCTCGCCGATAGCCGTGATGACGAGGTCCTGGTCGTGGTAGAGCAGGGTGCGCGGCTGGACGGCGGCGAGGAACGCCTCCGGCGTGGCGTTCAGCCCGAGGAACCGCTCCCCGGAGGCGATCCGCTCATACAGGTGACGCTCGGCCGGCACGGGACTCTTCTGCTGGTCAGGATGGTGCACAGGGCGTGTGCAGGTCAGGTCAGAGCACATAGCGGTAGGTCCGGACAGGCACAGCCCCGCGACAGATGAATGCCAGGCCCATGTCCATGAAAGCGTCCAACAGACACGGGCAAGTAGACTGCACACAGGGCCATGGTTGGGCGTCAACAATGCGTGACGAGGGGGCATTGGTGTTGGTATTTCGTCGGCGCCGGCGATCGTGACTTGGGGCAGTAGCCACCGCGGGGCTGCATGAAGTGCGGCACTGGGACCGGTGTTGGCTCGCGGGTCCGTGCTATTCTAGGCCAGCGTTTCGTGCAACGCCTAGGCTAGCTACCAGCCAGCACCGGCGCAGGCAGCACTGACCGCCCAGGAGCCGATGATACCGAAACCGTCCTCTACGGCCAGCGTCCAGTCGTTGCTGTTGGCGAACTCTGCCAGACTGCTGATGGGCGCCGCCGGCTGCACCGCCGTCAGATGCGAGATCATGTTGGCCGTGTAGTGGAAGGTGATCAACAGGCCTGCTCAATCACCACGTGACGCAGTGGTATCACTTTCTAAAATGGGTTGGGGGGGGGGCTCAGCGGGAAAACTTGACTTAGCCTACTCCAAAATCCTCATTTTCTCCCATATTTCGGCCACATTCATTGTCGTCCCTGATGTTAAGATCAAATTTTAACAAATTGGTCGGCTCCAAAATAATTGTGACGCTGTTGAATGACTTTCCCCTTCAAGGTGATATCATAGTAACAGTAATGATCTAGGATGACGATGATAGGCACACCCTGAAGCCGAACACCGACATCTGTCGCACCGCTGGGAGCCAGCGCACACTAGGCAAGATCAGTGACCAGTCAGTGAAGTCAGCAAACTGCCAGGACGTCCACTACTCTACACTGTAAAGATTATAATGACTGTTGCGCAAGGCACTCAGACCCTGAACAACGAGAGCGACCAATGACATGGCTCGTGAGCCAGCTGGGGACGGTGCGATTGGCCTATGAGCTAGCTGAGGACGATGCGATGGGCCTATGAGCTAACTGAGGACGATGCGATTGGCCTATGAGCTAGCTGGGGACGGTGCGATTGGCCTATGAGCTAGCTGGGGACGGTGTGATTGGCCTATGAGCTAACTGAGGACGATGCGATTGGCCTATGAGCTAGCTGGGGACGGCGCAATTGGCCTATGAGCTAGCTGGGGACGGTGTGATTGGCCTATCAACTAGCTGAGGACGGTGCGATCGGCCTATAAGCCAGCTGAAGAGGGTAAGACCGTCCCATGATTCAGCTGGAGAGGGTGTGGCCGACCACGATTCCCCTGGAGAGTGCGACAACTGACCTATGAACCAGCTGGTGAAGGTGACTATTCGAGCCGAGCCGGAATCCGGGATAACAGCCCAGCCCTGGCCGGTCACCGTCATCAGGACGGAGAGGCAGCTGTAGCCGAAGGAGAACTCGCGGCGGGTCGGTCCACTCTCGGCGGGTCCGCGGCTCAGGCGGACTGAGGTGACGAGCACGATGGCCAGCGCCACCAAAGAGAGAACTGTGGGAGGTCAGGTCAGACTAGGTCACAGGAGTGAGTCATATAAACATGCAAAGTACTTGAAAATGGTGCCTCCTGCTCCGACCATAGCCTACATCTCTTAAATAGACGGCTTCAAACTTCATGACATTGAGACAAGCATTGTATTCGATTATGTAAGCTCACTTGTAACCACTAGTGTGTTTTCAAAGGGACTGTTCCACATTGATATGGGGCTTTCAGCTGAAATAGCTATTTTGAAGATATTTCGGTGCAATCCACAATCCTGCCCCTCTTACAATTTAAGCCCCTAGTTTTTGAGCTGTACGCCAGCGAAAATGAAGAGAGGTGTATCGGGGAGAGTATTTCAAAGTCACATTGGCATTCCTGACGTCATAATAGCGTCAGTCAAATCCTGACATTCCCTAAGTCATGCGGTGATCAGGGCCAACAAAAATATAATTGTCGAGGCGTTCAGATCTGACGTTCGTGAGTGCAACTTACAGGTGTAACGGTCGACAACTGACTCTCAATTTGTGTTGTGCAAGGTACGATGACGTAATTAAACCATGACGCATTGAGAAGCATATTTACTAGAAAGACAAGTGTGCTGTCTAGAGCAGTCTTTTCGAGTTAAAGAGGATGGCAATAGTAATAAGTGAGCTTGTTTCGTCGTATCTTATCCTTACTATTTCGGGGAGATTAACTAGAGTATTCGAGTAGGGTCGGCAGACAACATTGAATTTACTGTTGATATCCAATTTTGTGAAGGCATGTAGCCAAAATATCACTAAATCTAGATCCCCATTTTCTGGGTATTATGCGAGGAATAAGGCTATTCGTACTCTCTTATCTGTATGCACAATGTTCCTCGCAAATGCTTTTAGCAGCTTATAAAGTATCACGTAATGTAACAGTAAAAGTATCACGCAGGACCGCCTCGAAACGCTCCCAACGAACACACACCCCACAGCAAAACCAATCGAACTGCAGCGCGGCAGCACCACGCGGTACTGTCGCCGGCGGCCGCTCAGCAAACCTGGCGCTCCAGAATGATGCGGCCCTGCACGCAAACTCTCGCTGAGATGGGGCAAGTTGACCCCTTGGGGGCTGCAGCGTCCCGGCCGCCGGGGCACGGGCGCCGTGCGACGATACATGGGCACGACGAGCACATAAGGCACACTGGCTGCGGTGCAGGGCTTTCTGCCCCGGGTACAGTCGTGGCAAACGCGGGGAGGATCCACAGAGCAGGGGCCAGACGCCCTGGTGAAGCGGCGCGAGGCTCACAGAACACGGGCCAGACGAGTCGGTGAAGCGACGTAAGACTCACAGAGCATGAGCCAAACGTGCAGGTGAAGCGGAGCAAGACTCACAGAGCATGAGCCAGACGTGCTGATGTAGTGGCCGCAGCAGCGAGGCGAACATGTCGCCAGAGAGGGCGGCGGTGTCTCTCTCGCCGGCTCGCATGTAGAAGCCGTGGCGGGCCCACCAGATGGGCACCATGTCCACGTAGTCCAGGACGGCAGCACGGTCAGCACGGTGAAGCAGATGGGTCACTGCCAGATCGGCGCGCTGCAAAAACGACCAAACGCGGTGCCATCCGTACCTTCGTGCATCTCTCAGGACAGAGGCACGGGAGGGACGGCAGCCTGCGTTTTGTGATCATCATCATCATAACGTATATGTTTGATTCTTGGCACAGTAGCGCGAATAACAGGACGGTGTGATAGCATTTACAGATCGAATCAACGTCGTGACCAGTGCTGTTGCCAAGGCTTGTGCTGTGGATGTGCATAGCTTGATGGCCTGATGTGCAAAGAGCTGTGCTGTGGATGTGTATAAATGGATGGTTAGACGTGCAAAGAGCTGTGTTGTGAATGTGTATAACTGGATGGTTAGATGTGCAAAGAGCTGTGCTGTGGATGTGTATAACTGGATGGTTAGATGTGCAAAGAGCTGTGCTGTGGATGTGTATAACCGGATGGTTAGATGTGCAAAGAGGTTACAAATTCGAGTGCTTCAGTGATGCTAAGTTTGTAACTCGCTCTGTTCCGTACTGACGTTGTTGGGGTCATTTGAATGCAAACTGCTGGCCTTTTGAATTATGTCCGCAGATGCAATGTGGGCTTTTGGCTCTATGAATGTGACACTGGTGGGTGTTCAGAGGTGTCACACCAAGTCTAAACTTCGTAATCGGCTACTTCATGCACATAAAGGTGTAGAAATATGGAGGTCTTTCTGCACCCATCCACAGTGCAAGGGCTTCTTTGAAGACTTTGGATGAGAGTTGTTGGTGGATAAGTTTTGGAGATTATTACAATGTTTTATGACACTTGAGATCATGGATCGTTGGAGAAACGACGTTCTGTTACCTCGAACTAGGAGGATGTATGTTTGTGTATTTCCATTCCATAGCGTTCTGCTCGTTTCTCTCTTTCTATTGCTGTGAATGATTGACACAATGTAGCCTAGGAAAACAAATTATTCGGCTTAGAGCTTTTCAGAGATGATGACTTCATTATGTTCCGTCTGGTTTAAGTGTGTCACAGTCTATTTCATATCGTAATGCCTCTATCGGTGTCCGAAATTCCGCCCTGTTTTTAGTCTGACAGGCCTGTTTTGGAGTCAAAGGGGTCTCGATTCGCCCGTAATTGTGATGCATTCGTTGTAGATTACGTCGCAGCAGTCAAAGTGTAACTTTATGTGGGTAATGTAAACCTTATCGAGCACGTCTCTTGGTGTGTTACTGGCTATCGGGTAGACATTTAAGTGCAATACAGTGGATTAAAGTGCGACATGTATTTTGATAGCTGCCTTTACATGTACATGGAGTCGGAAATCTTTGGAAAGTAAGGACTTAGATGTGCGTGTGTGTCAACTACAGGTATTTCTTGGCCTGCGAAAGAGAGCCTCGGATGGTTAAGTCAAATTTTATAGACAAAAATTTGTTGCATGGCTTCAGCGCTTTAAACATGATCGTTCATTATGCGGCGCATGAATCAATGGTTTCCACGTCCCGTTAAAAAGTACGATCGATCGGTACGATCGGTACGTCTAGACTGGAATATGAAGAGCAGAGCGATGTGTCGTCGGCATAAGCAAGTCTGTCGTTCGTTGTCTGGTTGACTAGTTGGTTCACGAGGAGGAGGAGAGGACCGAGGACGAGGAGAGAGCCGAATGTGGCACCTGGCGTCAGGGGACTGTGTCTTGGAAACGGTGGCAGCAAAAAAGGTGGGAGATTTGATTGCGGATTCAGGATTAGATCAATACAATTATGATAGTAATTCTTCCCAACCAGGTCGGAAATGAGGATTTTGCCCTCACTTGCATATACGAAGTCGGGCAAAGAGTAACTTGTGCATGCTTACACGTCTCGTTGCAAAATCCACTTTACCTATCATTCCTCATGTATTGTTTATCACTTACTACCTGAATCAGTTTTCTTTGTCAAGCGTGTTTTGTTGTGTTCATGCTTTCCAAATACATGCCTTGACTAAACTCAGTTCAACAACCCTGGAATATACTGCATATGCTACAGGCATTGAAAAACTTCTAATTCTCATCCCAGCTAAATGATTCAAAAGGATTCGTTATGCAGTTAATGTCTCGTCACAGGTTGGTCACGGCTTGGTTACAGCCTTGGAAATATTATCCTTGGAGGTGAGGGACTGAGAAAACAAGTTTTTCTGAAATTTCCTCAAAGATGTTATGCTCTACCACCTTAGTTTCCAGCCCCTCTCCTTATTGTCAGTGGAACCAAAGCTAAACAACCCACAAGACAACGTTCAAATATGATTGCTGAGTTGTCGCCTCTTACAACTTTCAAGAAGTGCAAGAAAAACTAAGGTGCGAGAAAAACTTTCAGTGTTCAGAAAAACACCAGTCCAGCATGTGTGCCAACCAACCACTTCCCAATCCACCTTTTCGCCTAACATCCCGCGGTTTGTAATCCATCGTCTCCGTTCGCCCCATGCGTCACGAAGCGACCAGCCAGCATGGGTCTCGCGTCTCTTCCCTGCTTACCATACCCGATTTCAGATGAAGAATCCGGGGCTAATGCGTAGCACCATGGGCCACTTTCTGTTTCCGTGAGCAGCTTTTCAGAATAGACTGGCAATCCATTGACGACGACGCCTCCCCACATCATGCAACAGCCAATCACGCCTTGGAGAGCCCAGGGGGTGGAAGCGTCTGCGAGGCAACCTCGAAAAATGCGGTAAGTTCTCAACCATAGCGGGCACATTTGGGAGGGCTTCTGGGCGATGCTCCCGGGGACGACTTCAGCCTGACTCGGGCACGCGGAGAAGCGATTGTAGACAAGGGTGGCGCGCATGTGGCGTGCATTCTATTGTGCGGTGAGAACACAACGAAACGAGGCCCGAATGGGTGGTCATGCGATTGGGAGAGTGGTTCAGGATGTCTGGGTATCAAGGGTGGACTAAGGCAAGAGAATCGTTGAAGTGGTTTGTTGGACAGTAGAAATTAATGTGACGTGTATGTGCCTGGTACTTCTTTGCTTAGTGTGTATCATGACGGTATGACTTCACTCTTTTGGGTTTAAAAGCCGCAGTACAAATTCATCACGGTGGAATTCTCTGACAAAATGCCAAAATTCCAACACTGATTTCATTGATTTTTTCTTGTCGTCCGTCACTTTAAGCCGTCAACAAGTCGGCCAAGAATTTTATCTTCGTGTTCACCCTTTGCCAAAAGCCCCACGGGTCATTTCATGTCAAAACACTTGGAAATATGGCGTGTAGTCGTGCGGTCACATCTGTCGTCCGGGGATCCACAGATGTGTGGCGGACACCTCATTTGGGACAGGTATCGTGTGTGGGTCGTTGGGTCCTTGTCCACTCTGTTTCTCTCCGTTGATTTGCATTAATATAATAAAAGGTACGTTTAGACAAGATCGTTTCCCCCAAGGTACGGAACCAAACTGATTAGAGTATAAATGTTTGGTGTCAAAGCTGAACCTTCGACTTCATAGACCAGAGAAACAATGCTGTTTTTCCAAGAGTTTGGAAATAAGCCTGACCTAAGTGATTTGTTGTATAATTGGAAGATTAGTTATAATATCATTGTTGCTACTTATTTCAATTTGTTGGATGCGTATCAGATCAGAAGGAGTTGTGTGAGACACGAGAATTTAAGAATTCCAGACTTTCACGCTTAGCAGCTGTAATGGGCGCATTCTATTGCAGACACTTGAATGTTGTTCTGGCTTCTCCCAAAAAGTTATGGAATGCTCTGTATTTGAAGATACTGAAGCAAGCACCATGTGAAATGAACTAAGCCATTGGTATCCTTCAGAGTGAAAAAGACTGCTCCAGACAACACAATAACTAAGCCATGAACTAAGCTGAACTAAGCCATTTGTATGCTTCAGAGCGGAAAAGACTGCTCTAAACAACACAAGTTTTTTGCTTCGTTAATCTGCTCCTCAACGGTCGTCAAACGCGTCATTGTTTGATTACGTCATCGTGTTTTGCACAGTATTGAGAGCCAATCCACGACCGTTATATCTAGAAATTGTGCCGACGAACATCAGACATGAAAAACTCGATAAATGCATTTTTCTAGGCCTTGATTGCCACATGGCCACTGAAACAACAGGATTTAAATGACACCATTTTGGCGTCAATATCCTCGGGAACTAGAGCGGTCTGCGTCTTTAGAGGAGCAGGGCTGTGAATTGCACCGAGTGATCTTCAAGACGGCTATTTCAGTTCATAGCCCATACAAGTGTCGAACGCTCCTTTAAGAATTTCTTGGCTTCGCGTCAGCTGTGGTTGTGTTTAAAGACCTGGTTGCTTCTTAGTTGTCCACCCAAGTATGTTGCTTGGTTAGGCTGTTGCCTCCAGCGGTCCAGGTCTAGGTCCGTTTGGCGTTGTTTGGCTTTTTTGAACAGCCTCTTAAATCGTATGTTCAAACGTAGCAGGCTCGCCACCCACGTTTGTCTTTAGGTCAAATGCATACAAAATGTATTGGAATAGCGTGGGCTGCTGCTGACATGTGCACCAGTGACAGCAACCCACCGTTTTAACAAATGCCCTCTTGTGTTTCTGGCTGATATGTGTGAAATAGAGGGTTCGTAAATTTATCCACATCGAAAATGATTTAGTCGCACTGCTCTCTCGTTGTTTATTTTAATATCGGTTTGGTAACGTCAGAGTTACATAGACTGGCGAATTGCTAATGTTTCATAGCGGCAATAACACTCGACTGAAAGCTACGAGGTCCATATTGTTTGTCATAGTCAAATCTCGTTTGTTTGCAACAGTGTCAGTCAGTCTGGTTGGCTCAACTGTGCATAGTGTCAGTCTGGTTGCCTCAGCAGGGCATGGTGTCAGTTTAAGGGTACTCAGTGCGCCCATCATTCCCGTATCGAAAGCTGTTGTACCGCCATGCTTGTGCCGAATCGATTCAATCGAATACATGTTCCCTGCATGTAAGGAACTCGGAAGCGGTGTAAACGAGGGACAATGACCTCGAGCTAAAGCTCAGCTCCCAGCAAATATAGCGAGAAAGTTTTGGATCCGTTGCAAATTTGAGTTTGGTGGAAGGTTACTGCAGCATGCCACCATACTGTCAGGTGTAATTTTTAATTGGATCACAGCGCACTCTTTATGGTGCATTTCTAAGTGACTCATTCTTCTTTCTGGTAATTATTGAAACCATAAACTGCGATACCGCCTTCATGTCCGTGGTTGTGTTGAGCGTTGAATGAGTGGAATTTACAAGTTTGAAAAGGCTAGGGTGCATATAAGTACCCAGGATGGCATTAAGTTACATCAGCGTGCCTATTTGATTTTTGTCTACAAAGTTTGGAGGCCCATCCGGTCTATTGTGTAGAGTATACTCACTCATCCAGCCCGCAATTTTAGGATGACTCAAATGTTAGTAACATTTATTTAAAACGGATTGGAAGAGACTGAGTTTTTGGTTGCGTGGTTGGATTCTGGGTTTGTTTGAATTCCGGTTTCAAAAAGCCAAGCGTTGATTTCTCTGTACATGTTTAGAATCTGTCACTGTCGGTGTTTTGTAAGATCTTTTATACATTACCCAACCACGGACGCCATTTGAACAAGCGTATCTGTAACCAAGTTGGAAAAAACTGCAACCATGGCATGTTCTATAAATGTCTTTCCCTTCCGCCGAGGCGACCAACACACTGCTGCAGCTCGAAGTGCCACACTCCTGTTCTCCCAGAGACCATCTTCTCAACTGCAGCATGCGCGTACGTTTCTTCTCCACAGTTGCTACGTGGCCCCGCTGTGCCTTAGGCGCCCCCGTCCCCGCTGAGGCCCCCGTCGGGCCTCAGGCGCCCCCGCCCCCGCTGAGGCCCCCGCTGTGCCTCAGGCGCCCCCCGCCCCCGCTGAGGCCCCCGTCGGGCCTCAGGCGCCCCCGCCCCCGCTGAGGCCCCCGCTGTGCCTCAGGCGCCCCCGCCCCCGCTGAGGCCCCCGTCGGGCCTCAGGCGCCCCCGCCCCCGCTGAGACCCCCGCTGTGCCTCAGGCGCCCCCGCCCCTGCTGAGACCCCCGTCGTGCCTCAGGCGCATGTTACCTTTTCTGCCAGCTCGCCGACCATGCCGGTCCAGCTGCCGTTGTGCAGCAGTGCCCCGTAGCCTCCGGGTCTCGGCGGCAGCAGGCGGTACCGCAAGTCCAGCTCCGCGCTGATGATGTTCCATAGGTCGATCAGGTAGCCGCTGTGCGTCAAGTTGCCTGAGGGCTCCTGGTCAATGATGACGAATGGTGGGGTCTAAAGGGGGCAGAGGAGACATCATTAGACCGCAGCTTCGTTAGCCAGGTGGCGGCTCAAATCCCATCTCACATTGCGTCCCCCAAAACGCTTGATATACCACCATTGTATATCCTCAGAGAGAATTCCCCACCTTTTTTCACCAATGCCACTTACATGCGTCGTCAACACCCGCAACTCCTCGGTGAAGCTGAACGGCTGGTCACGGTTGCCCAGGATGGCAACTGAGCCCTCTCTCTGCACGGTGGCCATCGTCGGCTCCCGGCGATGCTGCACTGTCCCGAAGTCGAGCCGTCCCCCCGCCGTCGTCTCCTCGTCCGGGAGTGCCGCGACCCTCACACGAGCCCCCGACGAGCCGACTGACCAGCTCACACGGGCCACCTTCCCGGCTCTGTCGCCGCCGCGGCGGTAGCTTCGGTCGCCCGAGCGACCGTTGCAGTTGCCGGAGCGACAGCGGCCGCCACCTGCCGGTAGCCGGTGACGTATGCGGTAGACAGGATTACGTAGGAAGGCCTTTGACCAATGAGGGAACGGATAGTGTCGTCGGCGATGCCGCCAGAGCGACATGACCGGATGTTGTATTGAAGGGATAATACGCCAAAGCGACAAAGCGAGTGGCGCCCGCGTGCATCGTGTGCAATTGTAATTGTGTTTTGTATCAAAGGCATAGCGAAAGAAGTCTGCTTCGATCGGTCAGTTCCGCTATTTGGTGAATTCTGCGTCCTGTGGAGAAACGTCTGCGATTTAAGACCGCAGCTCTTTAATAATGCGTGATCTTGGCCATGAAAACAAGCCTGATCATTCATCACTGGATTTCGGCATGGTGGTTTGAGCCGTAGATGTGTTTTGCAGCTGACATTTTAAATATCAAAATCAGCACGCTTCGTTGATATACAGCTTTGTGAAATCAGTTGGTTCTACGTCTGTGATGAGTTCTCAATGACTCCTCAACAGCCATCGTGGACATTTTTACCTGACGTTGCTAATTTCACCTGGTGCTTGTGCTATTTTTTGCTTAGCACTCAGTTAGGCATTGATTAAAATGTTAGGATTCATTTTATATTTTGCTTGACCATGCCCTGTAGTATTTCAGCGTTATTCCGTTTATTCTCAAGCTGTAATGGACTATACTTAACTCGTCGCTAGAAGAGCGTTAGTCAAGTACAGCTTGCTCAAATTACTGTCATGTCTTTGTTCCCGATTTGAGCTCAGGAATGCCTTCAGAGTGCTACTTATTTGCTGTCCCGCTTGCAGGTAGCAGAAAGGTATGTCGGTGTCCCACGCCAGGTATGCGAGTTCGTAGTCGGGTTCAGGTTGACACACATGACAATAATATTTTAGCACACACAGTGCTGTCTGCAGGTGCTTACAGTGAAGCCATCGATTATAGCACAGTGTCATTGACTAGTGCAGATTCAGATCCGTCCAGTGCAAAAAGTTGACATTGTTTATCAGGGAAACTGTGTAGGGTTCCAGCATCTCGAGAACCTTAGAAAAGTGGCATGGTCCTGACAAATGAATAAGCGGCGTGAATTCTGGCTTGCTATGCAGCTACTTTTGGCAGAAGCGGCAAATGAGTTCACGGGACTGTATGGCCAGGTCTGAAATATTTTCAGAGACCAGGGACAGTTTAAGGACTTAACGGTAATGACCGAAATGTGGATGGCCCAAAAGGTTGTCAGACTGATGCACGCGTGTCACTGAGAGCGGAAAACGTGGTGATCCAATCGGGCAAAATGTTTGAGAAAGAGGCCATGGCAAGCTTGCATGCCAAATCTCCTATCCGCAGGTAAGGGGGCGACGTCAAGCAGCCCAACAATTAATGAAACCCAAGAATGCGTGACCCAAAGAGCATGTTTCAAACCACCGGAGGTATATTTGAACATAGCTTAATGAGCTACAAGGACATCACATTTCCATGTGGGAATGTGGAAGTGGAAAATGTTTTCTAAAAAGTTTGCCGTAAAAAATGCAACCAACTTAAAACATATGTCTGACAAAATGCTATTTTCAGCCCCGTTTTGGTCTGGCATTGTCTCACTAGAGCCTGTCTGGTGAATGTCCTGACGTTATCTGGAACACAAACAACTTTGAAATTGAATTACTGAATGACTTCAAAACTTGCATCGAATACGGTGCTAAGGGCGTCGGAAGGCTTGCGCGCACCGTTCTGCAGCCTTTTGATGACAAAAAATCTGAGATGGGCGGATATATCTCCAGATGTCGGTGCATTTTTGTCCTGACAAGTGCACGTAATCTTCAGGCCTGTTCCATTGCGCGAGTTCAAAAGACCAATGCGATGTAAGGTAAGACGGGGGCAAACAACTCTCAAGGAAGCAAGAAAGCGAATATGCAGAATTTTGTGTGGGAAGGTATCAATTTAATTATGGCCACTTTAAAAATTCCATTTTTCTGCCGCAGACGCACATTTCTCGCATGGCGTAATGCCCACAAACCATGTCGTTATTCTAGCAATTTGTGCAAGTGTATTTCTTTTTTTTGCAGTCAACATTTATTCATGTGCAAACCAAATACCTACACACAAACACACACACACATACATACACACACACACACACACACACACACACACACACACACATATATATATATATATATATATATATATATATATATATATATATATATATATATATATATATATATATATGTGACCATTCGGTGAGAGGAGCACGAGCTGCCGGTGTTTGTTGGCTGATGCCGGTTTTTGAATTCACCCCAAAGGCAGGCATGTACATACTCATTGTCTCTCATCTGTTCACGTCATTGACATGCGTCGCGGAGCAAAAATAAAGGCAACCCAGCCTCGACGGTTCTCTGAGAACGCTTGACAGCCTGGGGATGGCTGGGGCTACGGAAGTAACGGTTACCAAAGTAAGCACAGATCCAGTGACACCCCGACGCGGTGATTTTTGGGGCGTGCTGCGACCATCGAAGCGCCCGTGAACGAGACGCTTGTACCGCGCCGGGGCTCAGGTACACCCCTTTTCCTGCCCCCTCCAAAGTGTATTGCCTTACCGCTGGCAACAATAGATCTAGTTGACACCTCAAGCTATCGCACGAAAGTGAGGAGACCATCGGTTGACATGAGGAGATAGCTGCCACGATGCATCAGTTGTGCGTGCACTGCAGTTATTGCTGCCGCCTTTTGAACGAGAGGTGCATGTCCGAGCCAGCGTCATCTGGTAAGCACGCTGGACTACCGTACATGCTGCAGCGCTCAGGGCGTGTGTGAGGAGCTGCGGATCACGGCGCCGCCACGACGACTCCGGTAATGTGCGACGCTGCTGTAACATGATTGAAGTCTCCAGGCTCACCAACCAACTGCAGTGTTCGCCTCAGAACGCACAATGTGTTTGCCGCGCGTGGTGACGCTGCGCCAGGAAGCGGATGGCCATGACTGGAGAGGAGCTTGATCGAAACCGCCGTGTCGTGTCGTAAACTGCCGTGTCGTGTTGTAAAAACTACGCCATTCCGTTCGACTACACAGGAATTTCCAGGGTGCTGGATTCCAGGTACGCCGGGCGAGATGCCTGCTTAGCATGCGTTCCGAACCGAACAATTGTAAACATTGCCACAGACACACCTTGACTTCTTTGCAGTTACGGAACGATTCCAAGTACCCTCGTTCTGCACAATGCCTTCAACTGTTCCATAACCTAACCATTGGCCAGTGCTCCATTCTGAAATTGCCCCATAACATGAACATAGTGTCGCTCCACCGAAAACGCTCGCAGGTCCAACGGCGAACGTCACGCGACGGTACTAGTCATCCACATTATCGTGCCTCACTTCAAATCCTTCAATACCTGCTACGGCAAGATCATACCGTTTGTAATTTATTCGCTCAGGGCGTGATCACGTGGCGATGAGACTATATTGACCTCCATATATTTGTTATTATTATATTTGTGATATATTACTGTTAATACATTAATATATAACATATATAATTATCAATACATTTTTCCAGGGGCACCGACCCACTGGATAGGTCGGTGCCCCTGCAGTGACTGACAGCCTGTCGTCGGTGAAGCCCCACGTTAGGTGGTGCCGCCTGGTGGCTTTCCACCATATCTGATCAGTTCATCGGCCGCTGTGGTAAAACACACGCTCGTGACGGGGGCACCACATCCGCACCGATTTCGAAACGCTGAATCGATTCGACCTCACGCACGAGCAAAAGTCATGCTATTTAGGCGCACCCGCCCAGGAAACTACTTAAAGCTCGCCGCATCGTTTCGGATATTTACACAATGGCTCCGGTGGGACTACGGAAAAGCCGGGTGGTTCTCCATTACGCTGCGTCAGTGGGCGTTCGCCGCACGCCGCCTGTTTGGCACTGGCAAACTCGCGGTCGGCACTGATCCGTGAATCACGTAGGTGAGAAGAGCTGACCGCGGCTCAACGTGTAATCACGTGTGTCACGGGACATGATTGCTAGCTAAATGAGCAGTCACATGAGTCACGAAATAGTGGTGGCTTGATGGAGTGGCGGAAGTAGAGAATCAGGAGTTCAAAACAGCTTTCGGAATCGACAAAATCCAGGCGACAGTGTTATTTGCACAACGAGCTGGGCGGCGGAGCCAACTCAAAATGAATGCGGCTAAACCCCTTTTACATGCGATCTACGGCTTCTCCACGGATGTAGCCCACCTTTCCTGCGGAGCTGGCGTGGTGGCCCAAACAAAGCTAGGTAAGTCCCTTCATAGAATTAACCCACCTTTCCTGCGGAGCTGGTGTGGTCGCCTGTTCAAAGCTGGATGAGTCCCTACATAAAATTGGCGCACCTTTCCTGCGGAGATGGTGTGGTCGTTCGTACAACGCTGGTTAAGTCCCTACATGGAATTAAACCACCTTTCCTGCGGAGCTGGTTTGGTCACCTGTACGAAGCTGGATAAGTCCCTCATAGAATTAACCCACCTTTCATGCGGAGATGGTGTGGTCGCCTGTACAAAGCTGGATGAGTCCCTACATAAAATTGGCCCACCTTTCCTGCGGAGCTGTCGTGGTCGCCTGTACAAAGTTGGATACGTCCCTTCATAGAGTTAACCTACCTTTCCTGCGGAGCTGTCGTGGTCGCCCAAACAAGGCTGAATAAGTCCCTCCAACTGAAAAGGAAAATATACGCCTGAACCATGGTTCGGGGGTGACGTAAGTCTGGTAACGTAACAGCCATGCCGTGCACCAAAACCAACCCAGCCTCTGTGTGATGCCAAGGCAGATCACGCCGTGTTTAATATCGACATAGTCATTATCACCGCATACGCCGCTATCAACACGATTTCTTTGGTATGGCCAGTATGTACGCATACTCGCATGATGCTTCTAGTTTTCGGGCCAGAGGGATCGGTGCGCAGGCTTGAATTTAAGCACCTCCCGTGAGGATCTTGATTCTGTTAAGCAATTTTCCCTGCCGAGCAGCCATTGTTGTCTGACCAAACCATGCGGACCTCCCGAGAGAGTCGACTTGACCAAAGCCTGTGCTGGCTGTATTTCCTCAGGTCACGTTGATTGCATTTCACGGGATCTGTCCCAGCCCTGACGGCGCACTGTGTCCCAGCCCTGACGGCGCACTGTGTCCCAGCCCGGACGGCGCACTGTGTCCCAGCCCTGACGGCGCACTGTGTCCCAGCCCTGACGGCGCACTGTGTCCCAGCCCTGACGGCGCACTGTGTCCCAGCCCTGACGGCGCACTGTGTCCTAGCCCTGACGGCGCACTGTGTCCCAGCCCTGACGGCGCACTGTGTCCTAGCCCTGACGGCGCACCGTGTCCCAGCCCTGACGGCGCACTGTGTCCCAGCCCTGACGGCGCACTGTGTCCCAGCCCTGACGGCGCACTGTGTCCCACTGACGGCGCACTGTGTCCCAGCCCTGACGGCGCACTGTGTCCCAGCCCTGACGGCGCGCTGTGTCCCAGCCCTGACGGCGCACTGTGTCCCAGCCCTGACGGCGCACTGTGTCCCAGCCCTGACGGCGCACTGTGTCCCAGCCCTGACGGCGCACTGTGTCCCAGCCCTGACGGCGCACCGTGTCCCAGCCCTCCGCTACTCACGGTTCATGGTGCTTGATGGCGGCATGCAAACAGGAGCGATCCAAGATTTTTGCCTTGGCTCCGCCTCTGCGCCGGGTAAGAGCTCTACTTTCACCCAACTATTCAGACGGACACGCACTGAAGCCACGCCGCCTCTCAGTAGCATGGACCTGACGCCGCCCCTGCACGTATTGTCATCATGATATTATGTCATGGTGTCGTGATATCATCACTCACAGCTCCGCCAGTGCCGCTTGCTCTCCCCCTTCATGCGTCTCTAGTCTTCCTGACTACGGCCCTGCGCCGTATCGCATGACTCCCACAGCTTCCGTTAGTACCACTCGCTCTTTCGCTTCCCGCATCTCCGGCTTTTGTGACTACGCCCCTGCTCTGTATGTATGGCATTACTCGCACAGCTTCTGTCAGTACCACCCACTCTCCAGCTTCCTGCCTCTCCAGCCTCCCTGACTGCGCCCCTGCACTGCATCGCATCACTCACAGGTTCCGTCAGAACCACCTACCCTCCCTCCTCCCGCCTCCCCAGTCGGCCTCCCTGACTCCGCCCCTGCGCCGCCAGGTTTCTGTGTCGTCTCCTCACCGCTCTGTCTGCCGGTCGCACCGTAGTAGGTGCAGGGGCGGCACGGAGATCGGACGGGGCGCCGCTGGACCGGAGGCTCGCTCGTGTACCGGAGCTGCGCCCCGCCCTGCTGACGTCATCAGGGTCACCGGGTCACCTGCGACTTCCGTGGTGCGCTGCGTTTGTCGTTTGTCTGTCGCTGTCGGCTGACGTTTCGACTGAACACTCACAGGTGAGATGGGGCTCTTCGGCGCTCGAGTTCCGTCGCCTTAATCATCATGCATTTGTTACGGATCGCTCCGCGGGCCCGGCGTGATGCATTTCATTTGAGTCCATGGGCTACATGTCGCACGATGAGACCGGACAAGCGGCAATAATGCAACACAGCAGGAACGTAACCACAGGTGGCACTAAACGGTGTAAGATTTTGATGCATTGGAAAAAAAAACCTGAATGGCGATCTCCTTGGGGGCAGGAGCTCGGTCGACACTGCGTCGGGATGGTGTTCTGAACTTCTCAATTTGCAAAATCAGTGTTTCGCGCCATCTTCATCGTAAGAGAATTCTGCTATTGGTGAAGACTTCTTCTGATGTTTGGATAAAGGCGTGTTGCTGATATATCAGCCCCATTATATTCCAGTCACCTGAGTTTTCTCCGAGGAATAAGGCCATTACTACTGCCTTATCTATGTGAGTAATGTTCCTCGCTGGCGCACTGAACAACTTGCGATTTGCATTGTGTATGCACTCCCTAATTTGCCTTGGTCACCCCAGTTTCTTTCCTGGCTTCCAGTTCCTTTCAACCGACACTAGCGGGGCGGTCATCACTTGAGTTTCGCTCGCGTTAATGGTGTGGAAATGCATGGAAAGTCGTCCGTCAAAGAGAAAGGCCGGATGGGTCACGACATGGACTTGGCGCTTCACATGCTGCGTCTGGACCGTCAATAAACAACAGGTTTAGGTGATGGCGTTCATCGATGGCACTCGCAAGGTCTAAACTGTCATGGGACAGGACAGGACAGGGCAAGGTCATTGCACTTCATTGTATTGCCTCACGCATAATGCTTTGCTGGACAGCAAAAACTGGAGTTAACAAGTAAACCATCCCGGCCATTTTGTGGCACAACTCACAATCCCCGCAAACCCAAATTTCTTCGGGCGAAATTATGAACGACAATTCATCCGGCAATAAACTCCTTCTGGGTTATCGTGATGAGTCAGGGGTGGGAGCAAGCCCAGCTACTGCCGTTTACAAAGTACAACGACGGGCCGTTACGCATGAGGCGTGCGGGCAACCACTGTGGCCAGCACCTTGGCCATAATGAACGGGCTTCCCTGTTTGTGCTGGGCATGCTATTTCAGAACGTTTAGATCGTGGTGCCTGCGTGCCGCTGGTTAGGGTGGCAGTGACTTAACTTGTTCCGCGATGCTATTTCTTTTGCCTGAATAATAAATTACGTTTGTGTACACGTCATTCTCTGGCACTATTTTTTTTCGTTTGCAATGGGACCACAGCAGATTTCCTAACATTGTAGATCGCGTCGAACAGAGGAAACCGACATAAGGACATGCACTTTTGCAAACGGCGCAACGTCCGTTTGATGACCAGCGTTATTCCGCCGCCTGTTCACAGCCCTCGGTCGTCACCGCTAGACGGGGAGCATGACACTGCATAAATATCGGGGCTATTGAGCGTAGGAACTGGACCGAGACTAAACCAGGTTTGCGAACGTCTTGAAGTTCGTATGCTTGCTCGGTAATCGCCTTGAATTTCACTGCGTCTGCGCCGATGTACGGCCCCAGCGGCGCCTCGCTGCGTGGCGTATCCACGAAAATAACATGGCAACGATGCCAAATTGCAATGAGGAGTCGAGCTTTGATTCAAGTCAAGAAACGTGCTAAATTTGCGTCATATGCTGGACCAGCCCCCACGCCATGTTTGAGCGCGGTAGGATGTGCTGGTCATGACATGCCAGCAGCGTACGCTCATGCTTGTCATGCAACTTTTCGTACGCACGTATATATATATATATATATATATATATATATATATATATATATATGTATATATTTGCATAGATATATGGAAACATATACATTCATATGTTGTTATGCCTCCTTGTTATTTCATACGTGACGCAGCGATCTTCCCACCGGAAATTGAGCATTACACTCGGCGGCTTTCCTCCAACCCATGTGGTGCGTGCGCGCTGGATCCGCCACCCAGAACGAATGCCTTGTGGTGTCCAAAGGCGGTCGAGCCCTTTCCCTTTCCGCGAGAATCATGGGGTTAACGACTTAGTTCGCTAACCATCACGTCTTTTTATTTCTATGTACGATTTAGGTCGAAGTCTGCAGGGTCTACTCATAGCGTCCCGTCTTCTCATTCTGCGCTACGACGCGTGCACAAACAGCAAGCGTCAGGTGCCCAGTGCCCTGTTTTGAAGCCTGTCTCGACCCCTGCCCGTCTGGGACGCGCTTTCTTCGTGTCCCGCCGCGTGTGAGACGCGTCCGGGTCAGAGCGAGGTCAGATAGGTCGCGACCTCCGGGCGCGGCGGCGCGCTGTTTTGATCGGCTGCTTGCGACGAGGCGAGGGTCAGAACGGGATTTGATTCTGTGCTGAGGCGTGACCTTGATAGCAGTTGACTGCGATGGAACCAGGGGCGTTTGCGGATATGGTCCCCCGATCCGATCCGCCCGCTCGCCGCTGCGCCCGTACGACCCGGCGCACCCACCACACATTCCTGCTGTACCACCCATTACCCACCCATTTTGATTTTTTGGGAAGTCAGTTTAGCAAATATGGCGATGTTTCCGGACTGTTCACTGCTAGCCTTGTGCGATGATTATTATGACAGCAATGGGAATGGAGCAGGTACGCTGAACGGTACGCAGGTACGGCAGGCGGTAACATCATGGATAATTCTCTAAGTGTATATTCGGAATTCCGTAACCACCTTACGCATGCCCGTACTAGCATCCTGTGCCTAACCCAGCCTATTATCCATTTCACGTTGGAACCCATGGGCTTACCCAGCCCAGAGAGCATTTAGATGAATCGGGGCAGTTACGGTACTATTAAGGTTGCGTCAAGATGTATGCGGGAGATGACTTTATACAAGCGAGAGCTTGTTCGCCTCGGCAACTGAATGCTTCGAGGTTTGATTTCAGAACTAGTTAATTTGAGTCCCATTTTACTTGGACCTTTGGACTTAGAGGACAGTGCTTGGCGCGTATTGGGCTAAGGAAGTAAACGCGTCGCACATAGAAAGAGCACTGAGATTTGTGGAGTCGTTGGAGGGCTCAGAGGTGAAACGCAACGAATCGCGTTTTTACAGCGGCTCACCACTTCATTCAGTGCGCCAAATTTTGTTTCGCTGAAACAAAAATCGCCAAATTCACGGGTGTTCTCCCCAGCAGATCACATGAGCGCAGGTCTGTGTTCAAGTTCTCAGTGGTCACAGCTGTTTAATGCAGAGCATAGAGCACCGCAGAGTTGGCCGTCTTCAGGCGTCGCAGCGTGGTCCAGTGGTCCAGCATGTTCCCGTCGTCCAGCACGGTCTAGCACGGTCCAGTACGGTCCAGTGCAGTCACCGTTCCGCGTGTCTGGCGAGCTCTGATCTGATCGCAATGCCATGCAAGTGGCGACCGGAGGCTCCGCGAAGCACGGGCCTCTCTCCCAGTCTGCGTGGCGATGAAACACTGCATATCAAGCAGGCTGCGGCGCAGCGGCGCGTCCAGCGCACTGGCCGAGGTAGGCTGGCGCGTGCAGCGGAACAGGCGGAACAGGCGACCGTGCCGGAACAGCGGAACAGCGGAACAGGCGACCGTGCCGCGGCTGGGTCAGAACGAAGCCGCGGAGTTCCCGCTAGGACGGCCGTGGCACGGCTACGTCAGGATGAAGCCGCGGATCTTCCCGCTAGGGCGGCCGTGGCGCGGCTACGTCAGAAAGAAGCCGCGGAGCTTCCCGCTAGGGCGGCCGAGGCGCGGCTACGTCAGGACGAAGCCGCAGAACTTCTCACGAGCAATGCTCAGTGTTAGAGACAACGGCACGCGGGTATTCGAGCCGTGGGTTTTCGAGCCCACTGATGCGCTAGGAAAAGTAGTATGAGAAGCCCATTGGTGATTGTAGTTCTAGTTTTGGTTGTACGGCTAAGCGTTATGCGTTGTCCATCAGAAGCGGTGAAATAGATGCCACGCGGTCCAGACAATATACATCCTAGACGAATGATCAGTCTGCCTCCCAAAAGGCATTTTGGAATTATCATGCGCCGAATTTATATTTAGATTATATTTATATTTATATTTGAATTTAGATTTTGGGTGGTGGGCGTTCAGCGACATTGGTCATACCAAAAAATAGTTTTGAGTTACACGGGATGCTTACAAACTGTTCTGGCATTTTTCGTTCGGCTATGAGCTTTCCTGTATCATGTAATAATACTGTAAAGTTTTGGCGTTGGTGCAAATCCTAAAGGGGCTTATCATGCTGTAGGAATACTTGTCATGATGGCGTTTCATTCCACATTGTTAAGACTTAGCGCAATGTCGCCTGCATCTTAGTTACTCGGGACTTGCTCTCTTCGAAAATTTGCTGTTTTGGCGTTACAGTTTTCTGCTTGTCCTGTAAAATTTAAGATTGTCTTTTTGGCATTACGGCTCGGTAAATGGTTTCGTGACTAAACAAACATTAATTTGCCGATATAGCTTTTCTACAAATCTACAGATCGACTGCTGACCTCAGTACACCAATTAGTGTAGCAGGCTGACATCCCATGGCCTTTGCAAAAATTTCGGGAGAGGAAGCCAGGGGGCATAGCTACAATTTTTTCATCGGAACCCCAGTTTATCCCGTCGGGGACGCGCGATATTTCTGTGTGACGTGAAACAGCATCGCATTCTCCCCGATTACTCATTTCTATTTTTCACCTTTAAGTTGCTGTGTGTTCAAATTGGTTTGCGCACAAATTAATGCATGTTAAAAATTTATGAGGGGACGTGAAACACGTGTCTCCGATGGTAACTACGTGATTACACCTCGGCTAACATCTATCAAAATTCCGGCACATAACACAGCCCGGCGCTATGCACACATCTTTTTGACGTTTGTGGTACGCTACGACTTGATCATAATGTGCTTATCGTGTGCTCTTGGGCGTGGCAAATGTCACTTGTCTGTATGCGCGCACTCCAAGTGCACGCGCACTGTGATCCAGGCGCGTGCTTCAGAGCTCGTTTCAAAGGCATCCCGCTCATTCCGTACCGCGCGTTCGGAGCATGTCCGCGTTACGTAAGCAGTGTTCACAAAAGCTCTTGCGATGCCTAGTGTCCGAGCCACTGTGTGTTTACGGTACTTTGCGTTCCAGCACGTCAACATGCACATCTCTCGGCTGATGGTGTGGCTGGTTGTGAGCGCCGGCCCAGCGTGCAGCTCTCCAGCCTCCGTCTCCTCCAGCTCGTCCTTTGGCTCCTCCTCTGCCTCGTCTTCCGCCTCTGGATCCGTCTCATCCGCTTCTTCCTCCGCCTCCGGGTCTGCCGCAGCCTCCGTCTCCTCTGGGTCTGGCTCAGTCTCCTCTTCTGTCTCCTCCCGGTCCGGCTCTGTCTCCTCCCGGACCGGCTCTGTCTCCTCCTCCGTGTCCTCCGGGCCGACTTTGGCCGCCGCGGACTTCGACTACAGCGACCCGACAGACTACGGCGACTACGGCGACTACGGACCGGCCAAGCCGTCGCTCTCCTTCACCATCTTCGAGGATACGCAGGCGCGTCGGCCAGAAGCGCAGCAGACTCGGCTGTCGCCCTGCACCTGGGCCGTCGTCAACTGCTGCAACAACTCCGACGCCAGGGTAAGGGCGGCAGAATGCTGGGGTCGTCGGGATTTAGGGAGAGGGACGGGAAAAGGAGAGGACACGATGTCGGATTTTTTTAGGGGTCGTGTGGCAATACGGTCGGTGCAATGGTCCTGTGTAGCATTGCAGACGGCGTCAAACGCCCGTATGATATTTCGGATGGTGCCATGCGCGCATTGGGTATTTCAGACGGTGGCATGCTCGCATGGGGGTTCTGAGCGCTACCAGGCTTACGTGGGGTATTTCGGATGGTACCGTGGTCCCATAGGTATTTCGGACGGCGTCATGCTCCCGCGCAGTGTTGTGGACGGCGCAGGAGCGCGGCGAGGAACCGGAGGGGCGGCCTCCTCAGGCCCGGATGGCTTCGTTTTTCAGCACAGAGGTCTCTCGACAGAAAGTTTAAAAACACCGGCGTGACGAAAATCCACCGAATTCCGAGCTCCTGCCTCAAAACAATCCTGGCTGCACCCGAGGCACGCTGTCAGGCTGTCACGCAGCGATGAGAAACCACCGATTCCGAGCTCCTGCCTCAAAACAATCCTGGCTGCACCCGAGGCACACTGTCACGCTGTCACGCGGTGTTGCGAGCGGTGTCGCACCGCTACGCTCTGGCGGATGTGTCGGTGTCAGTGTCACACCGCTGCGCTGGGGGGATGGGGGGGGGGGGGCGGGTCGGAGGCTCGTGTCAGATCCCAGCAGTCAAACAGGCGAGGGTGTAGGACATTGCGTGAGACTCATCAGATGACCGGTAGTTACATGCTGGCGACGCTAACCTGTGTTCGGCACGTGAGGTATTTTTAATCCCGCAGAACGCTCCCCCCCCCCCCACCCCCCCCCCCCCCTCTCTCTCTCTCTCTCTCCTCTCTCTCCTATCCTCTCTCTCTCTCTCTCTCTTCTCTCCCTCTCTCTCTCTTCCTCTCTCTCTCTCTCCTCTCTCTCTCTCTCTCTCCTTCTCTCTTCTCTCTCTCTCCTCTCTTCTCGCTCTCTTCTCTCTCTCTCTCTCTCTCTCTCTTTTCTCTCTCTCCTCTCTCTCCTCTCTCTCTCTCTCTCTCTCTCTCTCTCTCTCTCTCTCTCTCTCTCTCTCTCTCTCTTCTCTCTCTCTCTCTCTCCTCTCTTCTCTCTCTCTCTCTCTCTCTCTCCTCTCTCTCTCTCTCTCTCTCTCTCGTCTTCTCTCTCTCTCTATCTCTCTCTCTCTCTCTCTTCCTCTCTCTCTCTTCTCTCTCTCTCTCTCTTCTTCTTCTCTCTCTCTCTCTCTCTCTTTCTCTCTCTCTCTCTCTCAGTCTCTTCTCTCTCTCCTCTCTCTCTCTCTCTCTCTCTCTCTCTCTCTCTCTCTCTTCTCTCTCTCTCTCTTCTCTCTCTCTCTCTTCTCTCTCTCTCTCTCTCTCTCTCTCTCTCTCTCTCTCTTTCTCTCTCTTCTCTCTCTCTCTCTCCTTTCTCTCTTCTCTCTCTCTCCTCTCTCTCTCTCTCTCTCTCTCCTCCTCTCTCTCTCTCTCTCTCTCTCTCTCTCTCTCTCTCTCTCTCTCTCTCTCTCTCTCTCTCTATCCTGCTGATAATATACTGATTGTATCCAAATCCCGCAGCATGTTTTACTTGCCGGTACAGTTGACGAGTCATACTTTTTCCGTTCAGAGCCCTGCTTCGTAGCCTGGTCTTGCTACTGACTCTTAAACTGAATTCCTGACAAGAATCCTCAAACCGTCAAGCACTCCGCGCGAGTAGATGCTCTGGCCTAGTTCGGGGACCGACGAAAACTGGTTTGTTGGGTCTAACCTTGACGATTGTCGACCTTATTGCGTGATATTGTCATTCATTGCTGCTGTCGGTTGGCTGGATTACAGACGCGATAGTCATCTAGGGCACGAAGACTTGCACAGGAATGCGTGCGTATTTGCTGCAAGCCGTCTAGGTGCCTACGTCTTGCGCAATGTTCTACATACAGGTGTAGTCGAGTTTTTGTCACGGCCACGGTTCATTTTGTTCTATGTTTCTCGCTGCGAGAAGTGTATGTGGCAAACTACGGTCAGCTAGTGGAAAGGAACGGAAACACATTGACGATAGGGATGAAGATCTGGAGTATCTTTATTTCTAGATCGATAAGGCGCAGGATTACCGTAGTTACCATAGAGTTGAAGCTGACCATCAGTTTGATTTTGCGAAGCAAATGCCGCTAACATTGTCGATAAATTATTTGGACGGCGTGAGCGAATCACCGTAATCTGCGTAACCCAATTCACGAAGATCGACTCACCCAGTGCACTGTCTTTCGTACATAACCGCCGTCTGCCCAAAACGCATCAGTTCACAATGGCTCTCAAATTCCAGGGCAGTCGGATAGCGTGCTTCGAGCGGCAGGGCTGCAAGGGCGCCTGGTTTGAGGACCTCTGCACGCCGGAGGTGAAGCGTGGCGTATTTCGCCAGGTGTTCGGCTCTATCCAAGGGTAGTGGAGCGTGACTGTGACCTTAGGGCACTTCCGTCTGGCGCCCAAGGTTGCTCGCCGCCCGCCCTGATGGTTGGCTACTGGTGAGGCCTACGAGCGCGCGCCGGGGCCTGTAGCGACGTGCCGGGTGGTCCGACTGTTCGGGGCTGGATGGTTGTGGCACACGATAAGGTTGGCTGGTCGGCCAGCATGCCAGAGAAAACTGTGTTGCTGCGGTCTTGTTCCAGCGATGGTTAAAAGGCAGCAATAGCGTAAGGTACGTGGTTTAGTGTCAGAATAGTGAAGATGGCTTATTCCAGCCGTCGGGTCTTTGCGATGTCTGTGCAAGGTTTGGTCGATGTTATCCAGTATTACGAATTTGCTTACATTCCTCACGTTTCTCGCCATAGCTCGCGAAGCCTACAAGTAATCGCCGATGTGAAATGGCCATGCACGATGAAGTTAGACACGTAGCACATATATGTTTATGTGTATGGTCTTATCACGACGTACAGGTGAAAGTACGCAGTACGCTGCGTGCTAGTTCCCTAGAGCTGCGCAATTTTGGTAATACTTCTTTCACATTCCAAGATTTGCTAACGCATGATGAATCATTCTGGCAGGCTGGACGAGAAGCCTGCCTGTTCAATAAAGTGCTACACGTGCAGTGCAACGATGCACGGACGCAAAGAATAAGTGTTGATGGAATGCGTGATTTGCCAAGATTCATGAACCCATTCAATCGCCACATTTAGCTGCTCCGATGGACATGTTTTGATGACTACAGATGTTCTGCGCGGTACGTGAATTTGTTTGCTACGTCTTGTTCAGTCGACAAATCATAGTTGTCGACGAGCGCGGCCAAGGCACCTGGCTCAAATGCGATGATCTTTGTGGTGCAAGGCCGCCTTTTCATACGTCCTCGCTTTTACCTCTGTTTTAGTGCGGTTCGTTTGGTAGTTTTGGAAGGAGGAATGTTGGAAGATTCTCGGCACCGCTTGTCTCGTGCTTTTGCAACCGCATGAGGTCCATAAATAGGCTGATCAGACTGTTCAGAGCTAACGCCACTCCCTAAGGTACAATAAGTGGCACGGTTCTGTCAACGGCGTCCATAAGTGCGTTGAAATGTGACGTGTGAAATGTGAAATGTGAAATGAAATTTGAATGTGACCCTAAAACGTGACGTCATACGAATATACCGTTCCTGCAATGCGTTATGTGATTGAACGGAACACTTCCTAACTTATCACCTATTGTTTCCCAAGGTGCTGGAATAAGAGATGCTATCTATGGCGGAGCACATGTTAAGACGAAACTACGACAGACTCTCACTCCAAGCATCAGCGTCATACCCTCATTGTGGATAATCGTATACTTGTTATACACTGCGCAGCTCAAAATGCGGTGCGGCTGCGTGACAGGCTTATAAAAATGCAATGCCGCCAAAGGCCCAGTTGGCGTTCGGCGCGGGAATAGAGCACAGCCTCACAGAACACGTGTTCCGACCCGGTCCGGCACCAAACGCCGCACCACTCAGTGTAAGGCTTCCGTGCTCTTTCGCCTTCCCTCCAGGTGCGAGAGCCCGCACCTGGCCTGCCACACCGGGCCTTCACTGGATCCTCCGAGGCCTTTTTGGTCGGGATTTTCCATGTTCCCGGCCGTCCGTGACGTCATACCCCTCCCCATCCCCATTCAGTGATTCTGACCTCCCTCGGCCGCGAGGACACCCCCGCTGCACAGAAACGGCTCACTTCCGACGCGGGTTCGGGGCCGTGGGAGACTGTCTGGAGGTCACTGGTGTACCCCCCCCCCCCCCGCCAGGGGCGTTCGACGGACAACTTTCGACGGCCGAGCGCTTCCTACATACTAGCATTTGAAGATTCGCTGGGTGCATTACTGAATCCTTAGCAGTCAAATCATGCGCGTGTGTAATGAATGCTTCTACTGCTCAGGCCGAGCAGGTTGCAGTGGACACCTCCTGAGACAATGCCAAACAAGGTACGTTATGAAGTGAAACACAACTTTAGAGCTTCCAAGTAATGGGACAATACTCTACAGAATCAGCATGACTCAATTCCAAGGTTTGTGGGGTTTCCAAGTCACAAGCTCCCTTTCCCGTATGCTATTGAGTGGCAGCAACTTTTGCAACTTCTTGAACTTTCACTTCTTGCTTGCTTGTTAGCATTAAGCCACGCGATTACTTGAAGTCCTCTAATGTGATGCATTTAGTTCACTTCGGTCAACGGCCTGGCACACCAAGCGACATATGGAAAACCAATACGAAATATCTTTAAACCAAAGGTACAGCAAATTCTACCTTTGTGCCGTAATAATGCCACAATCATCCAAAGTATGATAGTATTTGGAACCGTTCCGAGTAATTCTACTTCGCCGCGAACAGGACATACAAACACGTGCATCTGTTTACTGGGGTATCCAAACTCACCAAACAACCTGAGAGATCTTATTGTCTAAGCATTGACGGAAACGTAAAAGACTTGACGGAAGAATTAACGGAAAGGCGAAAGACTTGACGGAAGAATGGACGGAAAGGCGAAAGACTTGACGGAAGAGTTGGCTGAAAGTTGAGAGACTTGATGGAAGAATTGACGGAAAGGAGGAGCAATAAACAAATACTGAGATGAAAGGATGACGTAGGTACTGAATGATGCATAGGCAAGTACCGTTGGCGCAGAAGGCGCCGCTCGGCGCCGCAGGGCAGGCTGACGACAGTGTCCCACTGGGTCATACTCTCCGATACGGCCAGGATAGGTCGGGGCAGGCTGACCACAGTGTCCTGCTGGGTCATACTCTCCGATACGGCCAGGATAGGTCGGGGCAGGCTGACGACAGTGTCCTGCTGGGTCATACTCTCCGATGCGACCAGGATAGGTCGGGCAGCCCCGGCAATGGCTGCCGTATCACCAGCTGACTTGCACGTGATGACACCATTCTTTAGAAACGCACGGTAGTCAACGATCTCCTCTTTCCCCTGACCACAAAGTGCAACTGATTTTATATCTTGTGATACTTAGCTACGAAGCGGAACTTCGCGTGGTCATGACGTCACAGAATTGGGAGAGTGGCAGGTACAAGTCCTACCACACTTAGGCTGGGATATTTTTTTTTTCAGGACGTCAGTCGTTGCTGAACTTGATAAAAGTGAGAATCGCATTCCTTTCCTGGTTCTTCGGCATGATGAGATCACAGCTCTTAAGGTGAATTATCAACTTTCAATACATGAAGACTGATCTAAGAGGATCTATAAGACCATGTGAGGATCATAAATCTATGTGATCTATGAGAGACCACAGACACAGCGTGAAACGTCCAGTACTGTCAATATAACTCATGTCCGCTTTAAAACATGGTTTGACCAGTGTCTAGTGATGTCTTACAAGTATCTTGCTCAGGTAACATCTTTGAATGCATAATGTTGAATTCTGGAACTTTCCATCCTCAACCTTCGGCCTCAAGCGGAAAGTGTAATAAGGACCTCGGTTCTGAAAATGTATGCTGAGGACTGGCCCGATGGGATCACGGGTGCGTTGTGAATGAGACTCTCGTTCATATCTTGGGCCTCAGTGGCCCAGAACATGAACATGAATCTGAACAGCTTTGTGTGCTCTTCACTCAGGGGTTTGTCACTGCAATTTTCATGATATGCAATGGTAGTTAAGGCAACAGTTAGATAAACATTTCGCATTTGTCGTTGCTGGCATACATGTTTTATGGTATAGATTACAGTTATTGCCCTTACATACGAAAATTGCCACTTCTCAACGTAACTGAACAAATTCATAACGCATCCGGCTCTGTGCTGAAAAAGTTGTTGAACAGATATTTTATAATGATGCAAATAAGAAGATGCTAGCTACATCCGTTCCGAAACCCATGCAAATAACGGGGCCTCCGATGTCTTTACGCGGTTCCAGGACTGTTTTCACGCAGATGATCTCATCTACACTCAAAAGCCTAATTTGGCATCTCCTGAAACGTAGAGCTAAGTTTTGTCTCGGCTAACAGTAGATTTCTTCGCCGTATGTTGCCCAATACTACCTAAACGTTGCAATAGCATTCCTTCCACACGCAGAACTCAGGCAGCCTGAGTTCTCTGTGTCTCTGCCTGAGGACATCAAGTGAAAGTGCAGACACCAATGACGTAAACACGAAGGTGGAAGCAGTCATTAAATTATAACGTCATGGATTCTCAACTGGCCGGCAAAAAACTCCTCGCGTGAGCCGCCTCAACTGCCCTTGGCTGCATGATAAACCGCTGCCCCGGACTTTGATGGCAGAGCGGGGCGCGCCGAGCGACATCTGGCGGACTCCAACACCAGTGACCGTACGGATCCGTTGGTATAGATGGCAGCACTAATCTGAACCTGATCTGAAACAGTGTCCTAGAATTGCCGACGTTGGGTGTGAAGCAACACCCTATGAGGAGGAATTCTTCACTCCTTTTCCCCATATTTCATGTGAACTTTCCACTCCTGCCTGACATTGTCTGATCGCACATGCCAAACCCCTATTTCCCTTTCTGAGGTTTTCAGATGTCATCCACAGCCGGGATCACTTGAAACCACCAAGCATATAAACGAGGTTCCGTAGAACCTGGACACCTATGGCTATGTCCTACCTCACCTACATTTCAATCATGCATTTGAATCATCCATGCATTTTCACGCATCCCCATTTTTATATCACCACCACACCACGAAAGCAGAGGCTGGTGCAAACACCAGCAAGGCCTGGTAGAGATTCTACTCCACGTACTTCTTTTCCTCGAGGAAACTTGACTACTAATTGCATAGCTCCCGAAACGCAGGAGAGAAAAGTTCAAGAAATGGCTTTTATTTTGAACTTAAAAGATGAATATCACCATTTGAGCACTTATATTAACAGATTTGATGTCCAATCAGTCGATTACAACATTTTAAGAGAAAAGTACCAGTCTTTATATTTAATTAGCTACTTTTGTTTTTCTTGTTATCATACCAGTGTCATACCACTTAATTCTTCCTTCCTTTTCGATTGCCTCCGAAGAAATTACTGCTGCTTAAAATGTGACCGATTTCTCTGCAAGAAGCTCCAACTACAAGCTTGTACGAATTACATACACAAATTGGATAAATTCGCCAGCCGCCCAAACATGTTTGATATGCACCCCAGCGTGAACAATTCACAGGGAATGAAGGAGACAATTTGAAGCACAGAATTATTTTTACCGCCTTTTTTGCCCCCCTTAAACCTTCAGTTCACCGCTTTCTTGATTCCTAGCGGTGCTCAATAAGGATGAATCCAAGCTTTTCGAGCTTCTGACTTGCTATGCTAACTGGCAAGGCTTAAAATGCCCTTGCCCAATGCCGCCTCTATATGGCAGCATAAGAATATGCTGCCATATCAGCCTTGGGACGGACCTGACGCAGCTAGTACAGTAGTGTTTGATGTCGAAATTCTGCCCTGTATGGCTGTTTATCATGCGCATCTCTTACTTGTTTCGCGTTTCAATCTCGAAGGTTGGTGGGCGTGACTGATACTTATATTTAGGGGGTGAGTTGGATTACCCTGTCTGCCAGCAGCTTATGCAAAAGGTACCGAATTTTTTGTTTGTGGAGAGCGGGAAGAAGCAGGTAAGTCTTGTGTGGACCAAGTAATTGCTTACGTTACCTGCTTTCAACACATGATTGGTAACGAGAGCTAGCCATTTTCTGTTTTAATGCATCCAGTTTTGCCATACAACAAATTATGCTGCCTCAAGGCATGCAATTGGCTTATTTTGTCACATATTTTGGTTATTTGCCCCAAATTTTTTTAAAGTGGTCCCTCCTGGCTGCTTTAATTCAAGTGTTTGCTATAGTTGTCATGGTTTGCTGACCGACAAATGACTACTGTATATATGCACTATATTTTTAGCACAGGGATACTCTAAGCTGCATAGCAATTGTAATATGAGTTCAATATTGTTATGTAACAAATAGTCAGGCCACCCCATTTAAAATGTGAAGCCAACATCTCAAACTTCATCATTAAATATGAATAGCCCAAATGAATGCATTTGCTGCAGCTGAAAAGGCAAACAGCAGTACTAGCATGGTCATCTAAAAGTTTGTGTTATTTTTGGAGAGAAGAGAGATTGTTTTGTGGAGCATGCCCATTTTTGCCTGTGACATAGGCTAACCATGATAATCAAAATATGTGGTTGAAA